ATAGATAGATAGATAGATAGATAGATAGATAGATAGGTCTAACGTTTAACCTGAACTTATTTAAAGGCCTTCGAATCTGCAGGCCTGAGACAGTAGTGAGGGTCTGCTGGGAAGTATTCAACTATCATCTCTGGGAGAGCTTCTCACAGATGCCTGAGGAGGCTGGGGACATGGAGTCTGAGTAGACCATGTTCTCTGCCTCTATTATTGATGCAGCCACCCTTAACTGTGGCCATAAGGTCAATGGTGTCTGTCACAGGAAAAGGAGTCTTATCGAGTTTAGTTGACTTGTGGCAGAGTGGAATGGAATATCGATAGATGGATCAGTGCAACATTTTTGGAAGCAGATCTCCAGTCTAATCCAACTTCATTTGCAGAACCATTTTATACACCAAACTCACATTCTAAGAATTAATATTTCAGAACAGAACTGCTGTTTTTATGTTAAAATAATTAGAATTGTATCTATTATAATCGTATTCTTTTTTTCTCATAAAGCTGGCTTTAAATTAGAAATTCTTACCCCTCTTAATTTTCACGACTCTCTGTAGTTAGCTAAAGGATATAATGTTAATGTTCTCAACAGTTTGTCACTGTGGAAATAAAACTCCCTTCCTGCATGTTTCCCTCTTTTCTATAAAGTTTTAAAAGATATCAAAATGTTAACGTTGATTGTAGACCATGGACTGTCCACTGTCAAAAATCTATGCAAAAGGAAAATTGTTTCCCATTTAAAGAATATTGTAATACTCACCTATATTTTCATATACCCTCTGGGATTAAAGGTTATTCCATTCATTTAGATTTAGGCTGGTTTACATTAGAATCTAGTTTTCCTTTTTTTTTTTTTTTTATATATTGATACGTACCCGGGAGGGTATAGCTCAAACGTATCAAGCCCTTTAAGGCATATTATGTCAGACAATGTATTTTAATCTATTACTTTCTTAACTTAACTCATTAAATAAGATGTTTTGCATTTTCTGCCATCAAAATACAGAGCTGCATTGATCACTACCTTATGATGTATTATACTATTGTTAAACATCCTATGTTTAAATCTACACACGTTTTCATAAAAAGTAGGTATTACAGCTGACTTTTTGTACAAAAGCTTGGTCACCCCTCAATCTTCTTAGATGTGGTTGGTGATGAAACTAACTCCTTATATGAGCTTATTCAAAAATGCAAAAATATTCTCAAAATTTTGACACAAACATGTTTTTAGCGCTGTTAATGTTGTAAAGTAACAATATCACCCACATATTTCAAAGCACATAATAAAAAGAATTGATCTTTTAGCACATCAGGAAAGACTCACCGATCTCTTGTGTGTTCTCTCTGCAGTAATGAGGCTGACTGAATGCACGTTGACGTGTCTCGTTGTGGGCTTTAACGTTTAGAGAAGCAGAGTGGAAGCCGCTGAGGGGGCTGAGGTGACAGTGGTCTTTAAGCAATTGCAGGAAAGAAGAAAAAAAAAAATCTGTGGCTAAACAGTTTCAGATGCTTTAACTCGGTTCAACAAGTAGTCACTGCAAACTCATACACATGATGCTGACAAGAGGAAAATCAGGCCATTTTATCAGTCAGATAGAAACCAGAGACAAAAGGCCATATCATTTCCCTGAAAGGGAGGGGGTGGGGGGTGGGGGTAATTGTCTGCAGGCAAACAAGTTAGTTTAATCGTATCAGTAAATTGTTCCTAAAAAATATAAATATAACCACCTTTTATGCTTTTTATTTTTAATAGAAAATAACCCAAAGTGGTTAAAAAATGATATAAACATTCCAACTAAAAAATACTACAGCAAACTACATTCAAAATACAAGGTTAGTCTTCCAGGTTTGCACTTCTGATCACTGCTCTTAAAAACGTCTCCCCCAGTCCCAATTGAACAAGAGGATAGTGAGTAATAATATGAGTATGAACTATTGCTCTAATGCAGGGGTCTTCAACGTTTTCCAGGTGAAAAACCCCCAAACTGATGGCGAAATGGAGCAGGACCCCCTAGTTATAATTGTGTTATATCAAACTGGTCCTATAGTCACTCTATTTCATATGGAGTAATGTAACCAAAGTAATTTTCCCTGGGATTATTAAAGTATTTCTGGTTGATGGGACAGGTGTTGTGAATAAAATGGTGCCCAGCTTGAAAGAGCTGTGTGTTGCTAAATGTGTGCATTGATGACTGAAAGACATCTTCTGCCTCCATTTATCTGTTTACAGTGTGTTGAATTCATGTTAATGTGGATTTAAAGAAATTTCAATTAGTCGAAATAATTGCAGAGGGGAATATAGAAAAAAAGTCTAATCAACCAAAACATTTGCGACCCCCATGCAGTACCTCGGTGGACCCCCTAGGGGTCACGGACCCCCTGTTGAAGACCTCTGCTCTAATGTTCTGTGTTACCTGCTGCTTTTCTGCAGCAATTTCCTGACATGATCAACACCATCTTTACTTGAATGTAATTTTTTCTTGTCTCATCTTGAAGCGTAGCTTAGAGAAAGGTGCTTGAATATTACATCCCATTTATACAGCCGCACTTACCGTGCAGGCCTGCTGTTAGGAGGCCTGCTGGTTGTCCACACCCCTAACAGCACTCTTGTGATACATAAAATGATGATTTAGCATCAAAACAATGTAAAAAAAAAATCATGACTCAAAACACCATGAACATCTACACAGCTCTCACAAAAGACAACTCATGTATTTACTTTGCATGCAAGATAAATTGTCGTAAGATTTGTGAATTCACAAATTCCCTACATCGCATCTTACCAGAAGCCAATAGATGCATCATCCACAATAGAAAACGGTTTTGAACTGCTGAAATGCAGCGACGGGTTTGATGTCAACCTGAGCCATAAGGCTGCAGCAAAACAAACATGGCAGGGCCGGTTTTAGCTTGAATACTCTCTACATCTTTTCTGAAAAGCAGTGATTGTTTAATTTTCAGAGCTGCAAACTGTCTTGGGAACGAACTCCCTCTTATTGTTTTAGAGAATGTGTTAAGATGAACTCAGTTTCACCAAAAATAATGAAAAACAATCTCAAAGGTGAATGAAATAATGTTTATTAAAAGCAAAGAATAACAGAAACTATAATATGATGGGAATGTCAGGATCAGTGGAATGTGTGCGAATGCTTGGATATATTATGTATGTGTGAAAGATATAATGCTAAAACAGGTCGACAGATGCTTTGAAAATAATTGTTTATGTCCTGTTTCCTTGATCCACATCACCTCCACAGAGGAAGAGCAAACAGGGCAGGCACACCAACATACATCCAGATCACAAAACCTGGGTCCATAACAGCATGAAAAAAGCACTACTGTTAGGTAAAGATATCTTGAATGGTACAAAAGCATAAAAATATGTATTATTTCATTTATAAAGAGGAAAAGTCCATCTAAGCCAACCTAAGCATTTGCGAAAAGATCCCCTAAATATCCATAAATCCATAAAAAAAGTGGCACAGCTTTTTTTTTATAACTACCAGTTATTGAATCGTTTTTTTATTTCAGTAAACAGATATGGTAGCAGAACATTGGCCTTATTTAAGCTCATATCTTTGCTTCTTAGCAGTAAGAGTTGTGTTTCTCATAATAGTTTGATTAAAATACAAAGGTTTGTTCACAAACACCCCCATCTCAAGCAGCATTGGCTTTGGAATAGGGTGGGCATGACGGGACACGTAGAGCTTCTTTAGACTTGTATCCATGGGCGTTGCCTGATACTCTTTGCATGAATCACCTCTCAGACTCGGAGCACATTTGACTTCCAGTTTGAAGTACAGTCGACCATGGTTCAGATTACAGAAGTCCTCCTTAATGCCATTTTTCAGAAACTGCTCGCACTCTCCCAGCAGGTCGTCATCCCAGCCGTTATCTTGATCCATGACCTGAAATTTCACTTTGTTTGCTACAGACAGATCCTGGGGACCCATATTAAGCACCATGTTCCAGTATGGGTTGTTGTTGTTGTAGATGACGTTGGTGCGCTCGACTTGGTTGTAAATGATTTTCACAAAGCCATCTGTGGCTGTAGAATAGTCTCCATACAGACCTTCAGCCCTCTGAACTGTTATAACTACCTGGGCCATGCCCCTACGGGATGGGCAGCAGTCCTGGTTTACAGCCGGGTCATTGCACTGGCAGACGCACTTATCGCTGGGATCTTTTCTACAACGCTCGGTGCAGTTTATCATCAGGCCTTTCTCTAGGATATAATGGGTGATGGCTGAGCGAAGGTTTGACCATGTTTTTTTATTAGCAGGCAGTAGTTGATGCAGAGGGCTCAGGGAATATGAAATGATGTCAGGATTCTGTGGAACAGTGTTGAGCCATTCCTTGTAGGCTGTTGGGTCTTTGTCAGCACTGAAGAGAAGGTCTGGCTCTGTGGTATGGCCTCCTTTGATTTCTGTGAACCTATCGAGATTATAGATAAAACAGTAGGGATACCTTTTTATTTAAGGATTTAAGCTGTGTACAAATTCTATGGGAGTCTGTGCTGTGAACTTTTTTTTTACCCTTTAAAGATTTCTTTAATCAATTTTTGCTTCATTTTCCTTTTTATCTGTTTACATAAGAAATAACTTCACTAAATGCTAAATTTAGTTTCCAAACGGTGGCTTGATTTATTTGAAGTAAAGAGATCCCAAATCCAACTGGGCCTGTAGTGAAAGGTAATCGGATTACTGCCAGATCAGTGGAGTTTGGGAATCTCTTAGGTAGAACCTAAGAGAATTGGGCTAAATTATTTTAAATAACAACATACTGTATCACAACCTGACCTTAAGAAAGTTAAAAACAACACCCTATCCGTCTACAGAGATTTTCAAAGCCAACTTTTAAGGCTTTGGGACTCTGGGAAACCACTTTGAGAAGCAGTATTCACAACAGCAGAAAACTTGGACTTGTTGTAAATATGTGTGTGAGAAAAATGTGATGCATACCTGTCATTGAAGAGGTCGGAAAATGCTGATTTGCTCTCTGACTTCTCTATGTCCTTCTTGCAGTGTCTTGATTCTGTGTTAATGGTCACCCTGAGGCTTGCAGACGCTTCAACCTCCAGGCACGTCTGCACCTCCTCCGAACTGAGTCCCTGTAAGCTGGCCAGACACTGACGGATGCTGGTGACCGACTGAACATTTCCTCCTAACTTCACCTGAAATACACATTTTGCAGATCTATTTCATAATTTCCCTTTGAGAAGTTAACAATTGCCATTGAAGTCAGTAGTCTTGTTATATGTCACCTTGCTGAGATAATGGGTGCCAAAGTTGTCGATGAGCCTGTAAAACTGCTCTTTGCTCTTTGCATTGTACGCTGGAGGAAGCTGTTTCAGTGCTGCCTCGAAGTCCTTGCTTATATTGGGTGAGCTGACAACTCCATAGCTGATTTCAGTGAAGTGGAAACAAGTAAAGCGGTAGAACCTCTGAGTTTTTAAATTCTGCTTCAACACAAGGTGGTAATATTTACTTTGAGTTCTCATCTTCTTACCTGTAGTACTCACAGGACATGCTGAGGCTTGAGAAGCTGAACTTGTCATTCTTTGTTTTTTCCATGGAGTAATCAGAAAGTTTAGAGTTGGTCCCAGCCAGCATGAGCGAGGCGCTGCGTTTCATGGTTTGAAACTCTAAACCGATTTTCCAGTTGTTCTCAACAGAGGAAGAAGAGGATGTGACCAAAGACTCGCTGGATTTGTGCAGGCTGGAGGACACCCTTGAGCTGCAGGATTGCTTTGCCCTCCAGTCCTTCACAGACAGAGGCAGCTTTTGCTTTTTATTCTCCATGTAAGGGTTTACACACAGGGTGCATGTTTTACCACCACGTTCCCAGTCATCCATGTTGAGCACGAAAGCTCCTTTGCGCTCCATTTTGGTGATGTCAAAACCTTCCCCTGCTAGATTGGAGCCTGGAGCAAAGTCTGCCTCCTTACACTGTTTGGGTGTCCCATTGGTGCACGACGTTCGTGTACACTGAGGGAGGAACAGCAGAAGGCCAGCACAGAGGCACAACTGTAGAAGCATGTTTTTACTAAACTGGACAGTGGATGAGAGACTGTAAAGAAAGACATTTTGACTTTAACAAATGAGCTTTAAAGCACT